TCTCTGTCCGTCTTGATTTGTTCACGAAAGTAAACAAGACAACCAAAACGCCTGAGCAGGCCAATGCCTTGCTTCGCACTGTTCCTTCCTGTCCTCTTCTCAAGGATCTCTATCGGAGTCTCTCCGTCATGCTCTGGCATCTTTGCATATTTATGCGGCAGCCGGTCCCAACAATCACCGCTGTAGACTATGGCATAGGACCACGGACGGCGATCGACGTGAACCAACAGTGTACGGCAGGAGCCGAACAGCGTCCGCATAAAACGTTCGCAGGTTCCGTTTTGCTCTGGATTGTGAGGAACAATTGGAGCGTCACAGATCTGCAGCGATTGCATGACCTTGGTCATGTGCTCACTGCCCAGAACTGGCTCATTGTCCCGTCTCAGGAACCAAACGACCTTGCCATCCAAGGACAATGACCAGTCTGCGCGAATGCCTTTGATAATGTCTTCCAACTCCTCCACGCAGTCGCTCTTGTACAAAAGAGGCCTGACAAAACACTTCTTGATGGCGTCACAGATACCAACAAGGACACAGGTGTGCTTCATGATAGACATGGGCTTCACACCGACACCGAAGTCAAACGCTAATAGTTTTAGTGGTTGAGGTTTATAATTCTCAACATTTCTTACTTTCGCATGTGGGTTCCTCTGTCCTTTAGTTCTATCGCATTCGGGACAACTGACGTTGAGCCCGTCCACATGGAAATGTCCAAGACGTCTATGTAGCTCTAACTTAGTCAAGTAACAACTACTAGTGGATACCTCGGCGACAGAAGTACAGACAAAGCCGTCCGCAGCATCTGCCTCCTGCAGGTCAAACAAGTGGCAACCAAGGACGGGAAGGCACATTCTGGGACGATTCTTTATGTCCAACACGCGGCCGGTACCAGTGTGAGCAATGGTTCCGCCGGTGCTGTGAAAGGTAAGCTCCCATCCTACTTGTGACATGTTACCTTCACCGAGCCAAGGCAAAATCCTATCAATGTCCTTCGGTAGATCTTTAAAATAAACACCATGTCGCAGGTTTAATTGGTTGGGTTGCAATTCTCCTATAAATCCATCCCGTGCGCCAGCTGTTCCGTTGATGGTACAGCGTCGGCCCGTGATGTTCTTAAAATCATCAGCGTGCTTGGATAAGTATCTATTTGCACAGCTGTCAACTAGGTTTACCTGCTTTACACCTAGGTAACTGGCTGCACAATAATCAACAACAGACAACATAGTAGCAGCAGAGTTAACCGAATCTACGAAACTCTTGTAATGCACTTCATCCGCCTCAAAGTTCAAACAACATCTTCCCCGTTCCGGATCTTGATCCTCATCTCAGCTCGTTCCGGGCTTTCCGGATCCCGATCCAGCGCTAGCATCATGCCAGACCCAGGCACCACCCCAGTCCTGGTAGACCGTGGGTTCACCGAAGCCGGTGTACGCGTTGCCCCCTCCTTTGCCTTTGCCTTTGGGTTTCCCACCCGTAGACGCAGCAGCGGTAGGACACTCCCGCGCGTAGTGACCCCAGTCATAGCACTTGTAGCACTGGATATTCTTCTTGTAATCCTTGAACTTCTTGTCCTTCTTGCCCTTCCCCTTCTTACGGGTAGAAGAATCACCACCCTGGCTTGCGTGGACTTCGGCGGTAACTTTCTTTTTCAGTTTAGCCTTGAACCGCTTGAGAGCAGTCGCAGACATGAAAGTTTTACCGTCCTCATCATTACCACTAGCCTGGGGGCGCTTCTTGGAAGCGGCAGTCTTGTCCTCGTCGTACTCAACCGTCGGGAACGCCTTGCCGAAGCTGGAGCTCTCCACCTTGTACTCACCGTCCTTGATCATGGCCTGCAGACGGGTCGCCAACTTGTCACCCATCTGCTCGCTGCATCGTCAACTGGGCACCGTCCTCGACCATGCGCGCGATCGTGTCCTTGAAACCCTTGGAAAACATCTTGGGCAGGTAGTCTAAGATGTTCTGGGCCTGACGATCTTCAGCGGGACGAGCTTGGTCGGGCGGAAACACCGCAGGGGACTGGTCCATGACGCGCTTGACCTTGGCGAGAAAGGAAGGCGGGTCCTGCTGTTGGTCGCGGTCATCGAATTTCATCGATTCGAGACAAGCAACACGGATTTTCTGCTGGGTCCTGTTCTGCTGGTCGTAATGACCAATGTCACGCAACTCCAAATACAACTCTCCAGCATTCAGAGCGTTGTAATTCGGGCGAGCGTGCAGCCAGGTCTTACAAGAACCAGTCAAGGACTTCAGCATCGCGGCCTTCAGGTTGCGCCATTTCTGAGCAACCGCCTCAGCCTGCTGACCGGCACCTCCGGGGAGGCCGGGCTGACCGAGATTGACGATGACGTTGTCGAAGTAGACGCTAAGTCCGAGGCGCTCGACCTCCTCACGGACAGAGCGATCCCATTCGATCCAGCCAGTCGCATCCGGCAGCTTCGCAGCGATCTCTGCGGATACCGCAGTCATCTTGTTTTCTTCAATGAATCTACTGTCACTAGTGTGAAGTAGCACAGATTGGCGTCTAAGTCGCAGCGCAGTGTTGGACTTTGAACACACCTGCCACACTGAGTGACTCAAGCTTCTACCTGAAAAGGTTCTTCAAACACCACAAACACTTCAATCTCTCAGCAGACAGGGCGAAAGCCTCTGGCTGCGTTGCATCCTGTGAAGATTCATCATTCAAGTTTCATCATGGTCGTCATCCACTCATCACAGACTCTAAGGATCCAGATCACTAGTCATTCTGGGACCTACTTCTCGCTCTGTATGCTCACGATTTTACCGGGGTCGGGGGTCCCCGGTAAAGATTTTACCGGGGCCGCCGGGTCTGAGTAAAATCCTAACCAAGAGAGCCTGATTTCTTCAAATTCTTCATCATTTGCATTTGGAGAACAGGCATTTCGGGATCTCATAGAAGCTTCAGTCTTTCGTGGAGGTAGGGTTTAGATCACATGACCAACACGAAGCGAGCACTGCTGAACATGGCTTAAAATTGGAGATTACAAATACGATATTCGTGCGAAGTGCGAGAATTCTACTCAAGATGAGAAGTCTATGCCAGGAACTACACTGTCCTCCGGAAATCAGAACAAGTCGCTTTCACTCTCTTTCATTTTGCTTGCGCCGCTACTTCCACCAGGTCAGGTATTCATAACTGACATACTAGGAAGGAAGAAAAAACGAGGGAAACCGAAATAAGTGACAGTTTGCCTGCGCGTCACAATCCTTCACGGTTGATCTCCGGATGAAGCCTCAAAATCACCGCGAGTTGCTTTGCGCATACTTGTTCACGTCAAGTACTTGTCTTCTTAGGCGGCGAATCAAAAATCATATTCCACGGGAGGCGTTGGCATAATGATCAGAAATACCTCAACTTCTGCCTCTATGGACCACAGGGACTCTAATTTCAAGAAAACCACTGCAATTGTCCACAATTTGATATCCTGTATGTCACTTGGGATGCAGAAAAAAGGAACTATAGACTGTTCTCACTACATTTTCCAAAGGTTGAAACTGAAACTGATCTTTGTGTAGCAGTAGCATACGTGTAAGTAAGCGCAGCACATGCTATGCGCAAGCAAAAGCTGAGCATGCATGGCAAGATGGAAACTAGCACTCAGGCACAAGAATTTGAATTGTCCATTGTAGAACTCAATTCATAGTGATTTGAAAACTCTCCACGCTAGATCATGAGGCGGTCCTCCACTATATAATGCGTTGGCTTGTGCAGACAGGAAGATAGATAAAATCTTCCTCATACGATGAATTGCCAATCGTATGGCTATGGATCTATCTAGATGCTGACGACGTGTTCATTGTTATTGGAAACTGGGTCTTTCTCTTTCAGAAGCAGCGTATATCAATTCCTTCAACCAAGTATTGAAGTTGGTCATTTGTATCTAAAATAAATCTTCTCAAGGAAAAAACTAAAACAACTCTACTCTGAGTAGTGACATTGTACAGGTGGTCGATACATGCTTTCTAGTGTGGCCTCTACGATTTTTGCAATGCGTTTTGAGACGAAAAAATGCAAAACGTGCAGGCAAAACACATGTTCCAGAGTAGTAGCCTTGGCCCAAAAAAATATTGTACATAGTAACGAAACCCCAAGCAATCGGAGAACAATTCACAAATTGAATTTATGAAGCATTACGCCGATCAGGGGAAAAAAAAATAGCGATCATAGACTCGTATCGCTAATCGTGCGAGTATTCCGAGAAGAAGACTTGATGAGGGTGCGGTTGCACTCACGAAAAGACAAAATATTCGTTGCTGCATACTCCGACATTGCTAAGAGCTAGCGATAGCCGTGGAGCGGGACCTCGCGCAGGAATGATATTCATATATATCAACGACCACCTCTCGCCACATGGACACCCCTGAAGGAGGGGCGAGCACCGGAAAGCCCATCCCAGATTGAGTTGCAGCTTACCGACGTTGTCCTTGGACCTGTTTCCAGAATCCGACAGGCTGGTTTAAAAACCGGCCGTCCTCCATGTGTTGCATTAGAAAAAAAATTGCATCTTTGGCGTTCCGGTCTCCGAGAAACGCGTTGGGGTTAGCTCCGAAGATGTTCGCCGCATGCTTCGCAATTGCTTTGGTTTTCGGAAATCCAATCACCTTTCCATCTGGATCGGGACCCATCGGGTATGGCGGCTTCCCACGCCCTTTGCTGTTCGCATAGGCATTTTGCAGTCCATTCAATAAATTGAGCCTCGCCTGTTGTAGGATTTCTCGGTGAAAGCGCGCTAGGTGACTGCTATCATTATAAAGAGAGCCGTGCTTCGGCCATTCGGTATTCATCGCAGCTTGGCTTGGGCTCATTCTGTGAGCGGGCGCGTAGACAATTATATTATTTCCGTAGTTCTTGGCATCCGCAGCGCGTCCATGTTCTGTGTGCGTCTTCGTGTTGGCTTCGTAGTGGCAGTGCATCTTTTCCTTGACGTGCCTCTTGTGCGTGCCCGTTTGCTTTGACCAAAAAGGGACGCCGGTAAGGTGACATCCAAAATCATCGGCCCCCGTGCCTGTGGTTCCCTTCGCTGAAAAATGAATCTCGATGAATTCGACTTTGCTATCGTCGATATCCTCAAACAAAGCGTTTTTTGCTCGGGCCTTTTTCACGATGTCTGTCCACATGGGAGATTTTTTGGATAGCACCATGTAGTGGCCGTTTTCTTTCTTCCAGTTTCCTCCCATGTAGTGCTGGTAGCGGCGTATATCTGAGGCAACAGCTGCGATGCGGCCCGGCGATTTCGCAATAGCAGCCACAGTCTTGCCTCGAAGTTCTCCACCACGACCTTGATCCCCGTAGACGGCAGCAGCGATAGCATTGAAAGCGCAATTATTTACGCCTCCCGCCTGACCAGGGGGTGAATAGTTTGGGTTCCGGACCTCGCGCGTTAGCGACCAGTGTCCCGATCCATCGGCATTCACGCTGTGCGATAGGTCTACCGGCTCCCCGGGAAGCCCCTTTCCCAGTGTGGTGACGTAGTCTCCGTTCTTGTCGCGCACGACGATTGGTCGCCCGACGACGTGCGCAGCCTCGCCAAGGTGATGAAGTATCCTGAGGAAAAATGTCCCCACCCCAGTTGTCACGCAAATGTGCAATGACGCGAACATTTATAATGCGCAGCTCCACCAAGAGAGCTATTTCCGACCGTGTTTTGGAAAAATTTGTGACGCTGTAAACAGGATGACAAAACGGCTTACTTATGCAGTTTCCCTTGCTAAACAGCACTACACTGCAGGGGCACACTTGTCATGCACAACTTCCAAAACTTGGAGATTTGTGTAGCAGATTTGCCATCTTGACTATGGGGTGGGGACGTTTTTACATATGATATGAAGACCCGCTTCGCCATCATTCGTAAGCCCGGCGGCAACGTCTCCAGCCACTTGCATATCCGCTTTTTTCATTGCGCGCTTAGCCTCGCGTCGCTCTTGTTTGGATAAGCCGGCCAATGCAGCTGCCTGGGTCTCGGCCGCGTGTGCTTGCGCATGCTGTTGCGCGGCGTTGTCGCTGGAAGCGGAATTAGCAGTGATGCGGTTGACGGAATGCACCTGATCGAGAGACTGCATCGTTTTTGCATCAAAATCTTTAAAGCGCTTCGCGCACCACGCGCTTGCAGCAGTCGACGACACTGCAAGCGTTGCTCCCTCGACGATATTTGTTACCCCCTGAGCTGCTTTCTCCGAAAGCTCCTCTTCGGCGTCGCCGCGGCCCATGCGTTTTATCGAGGCTCTCGCTTGCGGTCCGTCGTCGGCGTGAAAATTGGCGTCCCAACGACCAGGAGGAGAAAGTGGTGGCGGCACAGACTGGATTTCAACGGCTCCGCCAGTAGTGGTACTGTTTTGGTTTTGGTTGCTTAATACAGTTGATGCTGTGGTCAAACAAGCGGCGTGGCCGGCCCTCCCCGCCTTTTTCTCTTCATGATAATGAGCAAGACTCACATAGGTCTTTATCTGGTTTGGCTCCAATTTCTTAAGCCACTGCGCCGACATCCTTGCGTTTGGAGCTCCTATCTCAGCCTGAATCCTTCTTTGCGTTTCGCGGGTTATCTTATTTGCTAGTATGATCGGGTCTGAGTCCCCATCACCTTGCGGATTTGCTGCCTCGACGCTGGTCCTCGCACTGTATATTGTATTTTCTATTTTTCCAAACTTTTTTTTTTTGGTGTCACAAGAATGCCTTGAATGGAAATGGTTCGGAATGAAAAAGGTCGGAAGGTTCGGCTGCGATTTATCTCACAATGAAGAAGTAGGTCAGGAGAAACACAGACAGGCACCGCCACTGCATCATCGGAAATGCGGAAGCGGAGGCCCTCTGCGAGATTGTACCACAATAACTGCGAGACATACAAGGCCAAGCGCGCCATCCCCAAACTGAAACAAATCCGATTTCGTATCTTTACTCCTGTCTGGCGGGTGCAATAAGTGTCTGCTTCATTTCGCAACTCATCCAGGAAAAATTCCTTGGAATAGAGACACGTACGCGGAGTGTTGCGCAGACGCCCCAGCAGCTGAGTCGCCAGGCGCCCCGCGCAGGGCTCACACGCTCAGCTGATATCGCTTGATGTTGGGCTACCACCCCGTTGCCGGGATGTGTACACCCCTTAGCACTTGCTTGCGCATTTGATATCATCGAGTGATGCTGCGCATTGTATGCTAAATCTTTTTCTTAGGCGAAAGCGTCGTCAAATGAATTATTTTGGTGAAAGTTGATTATCCATCAGCATCATAATGGCATTTCCCGACTAGCATATCAATTCATGATGAAATGAAAAAAACACTGCACCTTTGGTAGTGTCCCTCTACGTATTCGAGAACCTTTTTGTGCTCGTCATGCAGCGTCCGAATCACACTGAGCAGTTGCGGTTCTAGATTCGTTGCGATTTGCGTCACCTGCGCCGTGGCTTCTGTTACTGTCAACGCAAGGTTTATTGCCTGTATTGCCTCGCCGGCTCTCGGTCTCGTGGCACTTGCTAAGCCCGAGCCGAGCTTCGTGAGCGCTCCTGCGACTCTCTGGTCGCATCCAAAATCGTATTACACTCAAACGCCCCCCCCCCGCTCTATCATGATATTCTTGTGGTGTTTTGACTAAAGGAGACTGCAACTCTCCCTCCCACACTGCAACTGTACGACGTATGATTCTTAGCGAATCATCTTTCCGCGTACTGTTGTGTGCTGATAGTCAGGTGCAAGGAGATAATTCCTTTCGCTGGTGTTGGAAAATTCCAATATGCACTAGAGAGGTGGTGGCTGAGTTGGTTCGCAGACTCACTTAGTAGTGAGCACTGGGAAACACATATCTTGATGATCATGCGTATTCCTCATGCAGCGGTCATCTGCAGCCATCGTATGAAGGAACATGCTGCAGCGCGCATTATGCACAAATGGCAATGAGATTACGCCGACATTGAAAAAGTGCGACAATAAAACTAATTAGGAAGTCGCAGCTGAAACGCCTGCCAAGATACAATCACATGTATATGAATATGATAGAGCGGTGCGGGCGTCCATGTTTTGGTACCATTTCCCCTGCCAGAGTCTGAAAGACCTGACTTACATTCTGTCCCGGGCGTAACAAACTTTCAATAGCCTTTGTAACGTTCGACACGTTCTGTCTGTTTCCAGCCGCACTATCCGCCTCTTTCAGCGCTTCGAATTCAGCAGAGCTTGACAACAAAGCTTTCACCTTATCTTTCAAGTGCACCTTGATTGCAGTTTTTAGATGCGGCATGAGTCCGTCCGATACCGCGACTTTCGCCAGAACTTGCACACCTTCGTTGATGATCACTTTAAAAGCGGTACGGGCCACGACTTTTACGCCCTCCGTTAAGGTCCGCTTGCTCAACTCCACAGTGCCCTTGACCACAGCGTTCGCAACTCGGGCCGCTTCTTTGAGCACGCCCACTCCGGCGGTAACGAGGCTCAACACCAGACTTACCGCTTTTTCCGCGCCCCAGCGACCCCAGTCGAAAGACCGATTGATCAAGATATCCTTGACCGCTGTGATTATATCGCTCACGCCCTCTGCCACAAGGCCCACACCGAAGTTGGCTGCGGCGCCCAGGGTAAAAACAGCAAGAGCCGCACCTCCAATCATCTGCGTCACCCCTATAATAATCAACACTGCGAAGGCGCCCCGGTCAAACGGAGGACACACCTCGAACTCGGGCGCTCCAATTAACCCCCACTTTTTATGCATGTTCGAAACTGCTTCAAACTCAGAGTGGTCCTGGTCTGGCCCGACAAAATACCTGAAGCCATCTTTTTGTGTAATGTCGAGAACTCGCTTGAACCCGAGTTCCTGGTTGTTCTCCCGAGCCCAACGGAGCAGCCCCAAGACTCTTTTCGATTGCGCGGTTCCTGCGGATTCCTCTTTGCGGCATTGTCGTTTTTCTTTCCTTAGCGAGGATCGGGATCTGCGCAACTCTCGGCGTTGTTCTTCAACGTTTGCAATTTCGTCGTCTTTGATGACTACGTGCACTTCGAAGGCGAGCAAAGCACCAGTCTTGGTTTTTAAGTGCGGATGATTACGGAGGTCCTCGTCGGTAGGCTTGGAATTCTCTATCCCTCTGTCTTTTACAAATTTCACGCGGTCGTCGTCACTCATCTTGTCGTACTCTGCGCGTTCCTTCCGGCTTTTTCGAAGCGTGTCTTCAGCTTTGTCTATTTGCTCAGAAATCCGCTCCCTTCGTTTATCAAAATCGGCCTCCGGATCTCCTATGACAGACTGTACTTGTTGCACCATTCCGTGATAGATCGCACGATGCTGGTCGACCTGACGATGCAAAAGGTCCTTGATACAGACACCCTGCTCATTGCCAGCACCATGGCAACACATATCTACAGCGTCTAATGGTGGAAGAATTTTTTCTTTGAGAACAGCAAGAACTTTTGGGTACTGGGTCTCGCACGAGGACTCGGTTTCAGGCTTCTCCTTGTTATGTTTTGCGACGTGGGCGAACCCGCGAGAGTATCGGGCCTCAACACACATACCACCGCTGCAGTTTTCGCTGAATTCAGCGTCCAGCTCGGACGCCTTTGAGAGCAAAAGCAAGGCGCAATCATAGAGCCCCGACTTTATCTCCTCGTTTGCCTGTTTGACAAGGTGGTACGGGTTCGTGACGAGCGGGTATAGTGGTCGTCGCAAACAAGGCGACGAGGCCCTAGTTTTGCCGACCTTCTCTTGCCGCAAGGGTTTCGCAAAATCTTCCTCAAAGAAAACCTCGGGGTCATCTGCGTCTTCGAGCGCGGCGCCCCTTGCGAGCAGCCATAGAGCAAACCGCTCCTCGAAGGCAAGGCGATTTATCGACTTCCAGGACTCGTCTCCCAAAACGGGTTTGGGGGCGTTTGGTTTGGGTTTCGGCCTGACGAGCGAAAGCTCTGCAAGCATTGCCAGAGCGGAGTCAAACACCTTGTCCTTATTCAGTGTCTTCCGGATGTCTTCTGGTGCGTTTCGAATGCTGTTACGCTCGTGCGCGTCGCGTCGTGCCAAAAGCCACTGCAGCAGGGTGTCCCGACCGTCGTCCGTTCCCAAAGATGGAGGGACATCTCTCTCTGCTTCCGCAATCAACTGGGCTGTGCCCCGAAGCCCTGTCCGCGCAGTTCTACCGAAATTTTGTTCCTGAACTCTTTTGTTTCTTGGAATAAACGTAACGCTGACGTGCATACCCCCATTCTTTTCCACCTCGTCCGAAAGCTTGATGTCAGTGCCCCGTCCGGAAATATTTGTGGCAATTATGACGTCACCCGCCTGGACGATCCTTTCTACGGCAGCATCGCGTTCCTCTTCTGCGGTGTACCTGAACAGGGATACGTTATGTCTGGAGCCGTCGGGCAATTCAGGCCCACCCTCCGACTCATGGTCGGCTGCATCTTTTGCCGCTTTTTCGAAGGCCTGGTGTATGGCATCCGCTTTCTTGATGGATTCGCACACCACCAGAACCGCACGTCCCAAAAATGCTTCAGCGCGGCCGCGCCGAACCACGGTCTCAAGCCAGGTCTTTCCGGCGTCCTTACCGTGCAGAGCAACACCCCGGAGAGTGTAAAACTGCTTTTGCTTAAAGCCGGGCGCGAAAAAAAAGTCTAATCCGTACACTTCGTGCATGAGCTTCAGCGTAGCCTGATCACCGAGCGTCCCTGTCAGTCCAAACACATGATCATAGCCCTTGAAGAACTTGACGTTCGACAGAAAGTTGGTGCTAAAACTTTGAGGCTGCTCCATACGGAGGCCATGTTTGATTTTATGGCCCGGACAGATGGTTTTTTTCGAACTCGTTCGAAAAAATTTGCGGCCGTGGATAATCGCCATGAGCTGGCTTGTGCGAATATATTATAAATCAACGTCATGAGCTAGCTAGTTAATCTCAAGCTATCTAGTCTTCTGGCTTCCCACGATTCCACAAGACTAGATAGCTTCAGGCTGACTAGTTCACAGGTGTAGCTACATGTGTAGTCATCAGATTGTGAATTGTCCAGCACATTCATGCATTTTTTCAGCTCAGAAGCTGCATGCAAAATAGCTATTCAAAAATGTCGAACGAGATGAAAAAAAACGATATGTCCGGGCCATAGATTTGCAAAATCTGGTGCAGCCCACCACTGTATTGCTGGTAGTCGGAGATAGTGCCCGTATTGTCGGCGTCCACCGTGCTGAGCTCCATGTTCGTGCCGTCGCCTTTCCCCCGAAGTTGGTACTGCACACCAGGTTCATAGATAAACTGCGCGTGTACGCAATTTCTGGACCAGTCATAAATGCCTCGCTCCACGATGAATTTTCGATGATCACAATCGCGGCAAAAACTTATTCCCTCCAAGGGTGTACGTAACGAAAGCGGTCTAGTTGTGCTTATAACTTCATCATGCCACTTCCACTTGCATGAGCAAAAGGGTGATCTTTCAAAAAAGCGTAAGTAGATCAAATCTAGGAGCGCTGCCGAAGACGTACCGTGCTTCTTCTATATTCTCTTGAGCAAAGTAGTGGCCACCGACGAGAAAAATGCATGTTCACCTAGAGCGACTCATGCCCGGCAGATTTATAGTCAAAGTAGACTTTAACATTTATACAAATGTTCACAGAGGGAAATATGGCGCTCTAGTTCCGCTAGAGAGGCAAGGGGTGCGAAAGGCTGTGTCGCGAGTTGAAAAATGCATGCACCTCAACGCTTTTGTTAATGCAGGTTCTTCACGTTGCTGCAGCCCGACTCTTGGCAGGGAAGATACTTCCATCATGATAATGATTCAAGTGATGGAGCCGCTGATATGGAGCCACGTCGTTGTTGTTCGGATCGTCACCTTGCCTGACCTGCGAAATCTGCTCATCTGTAAGCTTCTTTCCCGGCAGGTGGCTCTTAGCGTGCCACTCGAAGTCGCGGACGCTCTTGCGTAGCACCTCCTCCACCTTCTGTGTGAGAAAGTCCGTCCAACACTTGTATAAACGCTCCCCCGTTTCCGGATCCCGTCGGTTTTCGATCGCTTGGGACTCGTGAACGGAGACGTTGTGCGCCTTTAGCACGTCCTTGTATGTTTCCCAAGTCTCTATCGTGTGGAGCTGTGGTGGCACTTCGAAAGTTAAAAGCTCTCCGTCCACCTCGAACTGCTTGAGATGTTGCTTTTGCGCTTTCACAATTAACCACACGGAAGCCATGAAGTTGTGTAGATGGTGAGCGCCCATCAACGGGCTTGACAGCAATGCTTGTGACGCCGTCCCGTCAACCATGAGAGAGTCGCTCTCATCAATAATTGCAATGTCGTATGGCCGCGTGTCGCGATCCCGTGCCTCAACTTGTTCTCGAGAGAATCGGTGTCGCAGGTCAGCCCACTGGAAAAGACTGGGAGAACCATACACCACGTCGCTGCCTGCAAATCTAGTGTTCGTCCCAGTCGAGCGCACCTTCTTGTTCGGAGTCCGAATGTAATCTGACCCAATACGGCATTGCGCGAAAAAAAACAAGGCAGGTTGAGTATGAAAAGAAAAGAGAGAAAAGTCTGAGTCCGACTAGTATCTATGAGACTCATGATGTAGAATTACAGTTGTTGTTCAACATTGCCTGCGTCTTCATCTTCCTTTGACGCAGAATGATTTCCATGAGCGTAACAGCAGCATGTATTGCGCTGCAAAGTCATGGTTGCTGGCGGCAACGGCACGTATTGCGTCATCTTTCATGGCAATTGTGTGTCGCATCTTGCTTCTCTTTTTGACTTTGACTGACGTTTTTCTTTCTTCGGATAGAAACGCCGAGATTATTTCTACCGAATTGTGCCGATCAAATTTCGCTCTCATATGTTCATCAAGGCTATTGTGCTATGTTGCAATTATCTCGTGGGTATTAATACTATAATAAGTATGATGTAGAAACGCATGACAAAACCAATCCTTGTTTTTGCTCATCGTACGCCGAATCGGCGAAAAAATTGGCTTAGCTTCCCTGCTTGGGGCTTGGCGAGTTCCGACGAGGATGTGATAACGTCGACTTTTTTTCCGTGCAGAGACAAAGCAGCAGCGAGGACGCCGACGATGGCTGTCTTGCCTTCACCCGTTGGAACCTGTCCGAGTCTGCCTTTTGTTCCGGATTTGTACGCGTCAAGGTGGGTGATCACAGCAAACATTTGTGTAGCGCGTAGTTCTTCGTGGAAAGTCTTGTGCCAGCCAGACTTTAGCACAGCGAGAACCTCGACCATGTCCACTTCCTCTCCAGCAGCAAACTTGCTGCGCACGGTGTCTGCCCAAGTTTTCCAGTTAAGGGAATCGGCAACGGGGAATCTCGCAATCTCGTCGTGCTTAGCCGGCAGGTTCACTCCTGCAGATTTCAAAAATTCCGAGTTGGTGCTGCCCGCTCGCGTCCGTGCCTCGTTTTCGATGTGCCCAGCGACAGCTCCGGGAGAAAGTTCTGTGCTTCCGGGGAAAAGAATGGCCACAAATTTCGAATGGAGGACTGTGCTCCACTTCGCAGGTTCGGTCACTTTCAAGAACTCTGTGATGGTCGCTTGCACGCTGCGAACACTAACCAGGGTGGCATTTTTGCTGTCATCGCGCTCCTGGCCTAGCATGCCAGTTCCGAGAGGCCGCCAATCCTCTGCCATTTGGTAATCATTCAAGAGTTCTAGCACCCCTCGAACCTCTGGAAACGCCGCCACTGAGTCCCGCAAGCGCTTGATCACGGCCATGACCTCCTGCGAACGCCAGGCGCCAGTAAGTTCGTATGTGAGACTGTCGAGTGCCTTGCGCTCTTTTTCATCTTTGCGCAGATTCCATCCTTCTAGGGCCGGTTCAAGGACCAGCTTGATCAGCTTTTGGCTGCAGTTTCTCAGCGAGATTGGCGCCCCTCTTGACACAGCGGATGCGTATCGAAATGGAAAAACATAGCTTCGCACCCGGCACACCGCAGTACCTAAAGGCGAGCTCAGCATGCACACAAGGAAGATCAGTGCTGGGCATCCGTTCCGACTCCGTCCCGGTGCGAAGAGATTGCGTTTTATCTTGCGTGTCCGTACAGCTATATTTTGGAAGCACGCTATTCATAGTCACAACAACGGAGGGGGAGGGTCTCTCATCGCGCGAGAGACATCAATGCATACATAGTGAACATACAAATTCTTTTTCTTGGGCATTCAGGACTACATTGCGCATTTCAATGCAAACTGCATTACAAGCAGGCACGTAAATCTGCAGTGAGAGCGTGCGGGTGCGAATAATCGTGATTGGCTTTGAGATACTTCGCATCTTCTAATTTTTGCCAGAACCTTAGCGGGTGTAAGAATTTCTGTATGCGCAGCGAGGATCTCAAAAAACTGCGCTACTTCTTCTACCGCGAACGGGGAGACTGCTAGGGAAACGACAAGTTCTATGCTGGATAAATTGCCGTAGGTATAGTCGTCGGCGGAAGAAGTAGACTGCTGAATGGTTTTCGTGCGGTTTCGAATATGCTTGTCAATGCCAGCGATATCGGACGGCCGAGGATTCGCGTGCCGCAGCTGGTCCGCAAGCCATATCACCTGAAGCTCCGCAGTAAGTGCCTGAACGCCGTCCTGCGGCATGCCATCGGATAACAAAGTGAAAGCCTGTTCAAAAGCGCCAGCATGGCGTGACACTTGGAGCAGCCGGAATAGTTCTGCCACGTCGTGAAAGCCGACATATTCTGTTTGTGCGCCAGGTAGAGAGCCAGCACTTGCACCCATTGCAGTTGCAGAATTTTGCGTGCCGCTCGACGAATGGCCATGGGGCGCAGCGGCAGGTGAAGGTCGCATATTCGGAGCGGGGCTAGTGCTTTGAGGCTGTGAGAGTGGATCTCTTTTTGAAGAGTCAGTATTGGTAGCTTCCTCACCCTTCTCTTTTGCGACAGAAGCTTCCTTCAGCACCTGCAGATTTTTTGGAGTGTTTGCCCAAACCAGCGTTGCTGCAAGCACCCCCTCCAGTTTTGATACGGCACAAGCAGCCCTGTCGCGTGCCACAACGCAAATTTCATCCCTAACGTGGGTCTGCAGGTGGGACCACGCAGAATTAGCTTCAGGAAAGCCGCTGCCCTCCATCTTCGTACTGTCGAGCTTGTGTGTGTGCACAATCGTTGTGCTGAGCTCGGAAAACATGTACTCTAGACCCAGCTGCTGTGTGGGCTCCGGCATCGTACTGGGCGCACCCAAAAATCTCGTCTGGAGGTAGTCAGCCGAGGGCGCTGGAAGCCCTCCCATGAGCGTTGTGAGAACCTGTGTTAGGAGCTTCCACATCCACCAAACTTGTCCACGAACGGCAGGCTTCTCATTTGAGTGCGAGCTCTTCTGATCCTCCGACACCGAGACAGACTCGCCTTCCGTTACTGAAGCCGCTTCCGGAAGCAATACCAGGGAATGTAGTGCAAGAAGCAGCATCGAAGTTCAAGTGTGATGTTTCTCCAGCAGCCTAAAAGTTTTGTTACGAATATACATACTTAGCCAGCACAACAACAAAGGAACAGGCATGCCGCTGCACCAGAGTTTTTTGTTAAGCAATCTACATCAACAGCATCTCCTGGTAGCGGCTCAGGCCTCACCGACGCAACTCCTTTCTCGGGGTTTCCTTTTGCAGTATCATGCATTACTGTGGGTTCCGGACCGCTACTGGCTGTACCTACACGATGCAACATAAGATCATTGAAGCTCAGTCCGTCGGAGCACCTTTGCATCTTCCCTTCGTCTTTTTGCTGTGTATTATTTGCCAGTACTAGTCGCTTAGCTTAGTGGGAAACATCAAGACGCCACTCACATGCGATATTTCGAGGCTGTGGCTTCGGCGCAGCCTCACCGTCAGAGCTATTAGTTTGCGGTTTAGGCGTAGGCTGAGCCGGGTCTCCGCCATCCGTCGTTGCTGCAGGTTGTACTACAAGTTCTCGGTCTTCCTTGAAGAAGTGAAATTCTAGCACAGGCTCATCACTGTCGCTGCCTGGGGGCAAGGCGTTCTGCGTATTTTGGGGCGCTCGCTGCTTCCAGATGCTATCAATTTTCCATCGATCCGCGGTCGTTTCACCGCCGCCTGGCGCCCATACAACAAGCTGCAAAACTGGGAGGTTGCGAGTCAGCAGGTCCAGGAAGGCTGAAAATTCGATATTCTCTTGCATGGCATCAAGCTCTTCTAGATTCAGTGATTTTTCTATGCGAGTAAATGACGCAGACGAAACGAGCGGGAGATCCTCATCGTGCAAGGTCGTGCTAGCAGTGTTGTTGTTTTCATGTGAAAAGCAACTCAGCGTCAGCCCTTTGTTCGCATCTTTTAGCCGCGTGCGAATGACTGCCTGAAGTGCGCAGAAGTCGAAATATCAGACATGTGCTTTTCTACAAGGTGTCAGTGTATGACGGATCATTCGTATGCTTTTTTCAAAAAGGCGGGCTTCTTGCACTGCCCTGCTGTCGTGTGCTCTTCAACTACTTGTTCCACAGTCTGTCTGCAGATACCTTCATTCTGATATCGGAATTTGGAACCGGAGGATCGGCGGTTTTCACCCAGGACACAAACTCTGCTGCAAGCCATTGCTTCACCGCGAAGCGGCTCTGCATGTCCACTCGTGACGTCTTGCAAAACTCCAAAAAGCGCTTTTCTGCGGAATTGCGGTGGAGTTCCTCAGTATTACGAATAGACGCCCATCTTCGCATAAATTGATCCGCGACCGCTGCGACGGTGTTTTCAGTTCCTACGATCGGTTGCCGAAAAATCGCAAAATCAGTAGAGGAGCGAACGGTGCCAACGTCGTGTGTTGCAGGAAGAACGGGTCGCGAATTCAGAGCAGCTTGGTTCCACGAACTGGACAGTCGATCCCACAATTCGGAAAAGTTTGCCTCTACGAAACTTGGTGTCGTCGAACTACCGGCCGTCGTGCCCGCACACGTAGTCGTAGTGGTTCCTGTTCTAGTTTCAAATTTGAATTTTTGCAGCCACGATTTCAACTCGGTCCCCGAAATGCGGTTCTCTTTAGCTTCGTGCTCGAGTGCAAACAAAGCTTCGAGGCGAATACGCGCTGAGTTATTATCGGCATCGCCACACACCTGCTTCAATGTCGCGATTGCGTGTGGCCCTTCCCGCAGGCGTTTGTAGGCTGCTTCTCCGCTTGAGACATGCTTTCGAACCTGGTCTTTGAGAATCTTGACAAGCTTTGCTCGCGTATCCTGAAACAAGGCCGGCAAGTAGGCAGTGGGCAGCATTTCCTCGTCACCTTGAAAATTTGAAGAGACCAGCAACTCGAGGAGGCGGCTGGACTCTTTTTGGGGGCGTGCCCTGTTCGACTCTCCAGCGGCGAGATGGGCATCCGATCTCGACGGTCGTGTGTCCTCTACAACGGAGGCAAAGTGCCGATCTGTGAACAAGCCGTCGAAAGTGAGCAGGGTCGCTATGTGCCCGATTGCAGTTTTCTCCAGGAGCAGGAAATCGAGCGGGCTTCCACGTACCAGATTAACCTTTGCAGGAGGATTGGTTCCACTTGTGGTAGACGTCCCTGTCCCCCCGTCGGCGTTGCGCGTGCAACTTCCCTGCGACGTGGTATTCACAATTTTGTCTTTTTCTGCCCGCAACATGGCAAGTCGGAAGTGGTTTTCAACCAGAACTTCGTCAATAGACTCCGAAAATTCCTGCACCGCGGAGATCCACACGATCAAATACGAAGTTGAAATGAGGGATGTTCTATAATCTGCGACAGATCGCGCAACGCTCCCAAAGCAGTCCCACACGAAGGTCCACAATTTGCGGGCCTCATCCAAAACAGACTCTACCGGGAGTGCAGTGAGGAGTACGAGAGCGATCTGCAGCTGCTGCTGGATCGACTGGCCGAGCAAATCGTGCGACTGCGAATCGACGGACGGCACCAGCTACCCAACCTTCTTCTTCTTCTCCTGCATCAAGTAAGTTTCCAAACTGAAAACCCATCGTGTCGATCCACTGAGGTCCTGATGAACTTCTACGTTGTCCGCAGTCCGCTTTTGCCCGCGCCCCGAGACGCGCGCTGTCATCTCTGCGATCAGATTCTGAAATACTTTCGCCACAGGCCCATCTGCGATTTTTATCGAGGGGAGGAAAGGAAACTCGCCCAGCACTGTTTGGGTGCCATCGCTTGGTGGAGTCACATGCAGTTCGTACTAGCAGCTGCGGCACTCACAATGGTTGCTGATCTTTACTTAGAGCCGCGCTCTTGATACCTAAACTATCAATAGCAATCTGGAAGAGGTGGCTGAGTGCCACCACGCACCTCTGATAGCGCGAAGTCGCCTGAGGTTGAGTTTCACTTTTCACCTTTGTCGATCAGGATGATGGCACAATTAGAGAGCATGGGAAAATAATGGCGCAGAGTCATCGTCATCTACTAGTTCATGTTGATGAACTACTTAGTTTGATGCTCTTGCCCGCTGGTCTAGCGCGAATGCAGAGGTCGAGTAAGAAGATGGCTACCACGACTGCTATGCTCACACACATGCGCAAAGATGCGTATTGAAGTGTGACGACAATCATCCTACAGAGTCCAAGCGATTGCCAAGCAGAGGGTGCCTTGACTTTGAGTGAGAAAGTGTCACATCTTGCATAAGTTTCAATGTAAATTTGTCACCAGCTGCAAGAGCAAAGCCAAAGGCTTCGCCTCTGCGGAGGATTGTGGATGTGGGCTCCGGCGCAGCTTTTGTCGGTGCCGCACGATGCTCAAGGTGGCATACATTGCGCCACGCATCCGCAACAGATCTTCGGCCGAATACGTCCTCTTCGAGCGCGATGAGTGCAGCGGCACTGTCGTCATCCGATGAAGACCCACCAGTATTTGTTTTCATAGCGGGTGAACTGCGCGCCAAGAAGTCTCGTGAAGCCGTTTTTCTTCGGAGCCTTTTCCTCGGAGGGCCATCTGCAGCCGGCGAGCCAGGATATGTGCAATGAATTAAAAGTTTCTCAAGGCTTTGAAGTAGGCCGAGTTCCAGTGGTGCCGCTCGGCGAAGGGTGGCATTCTCATCCCATGGTCGGTAGAGAACAGCTAAGGCTTGCAAAACAACACCGACCCTTTGCGCGGTTGCAGCGTCGTCAGGTACAGATTTCGTGAGGTCGCCCAGAAAGGCAGCAATCCACTGCGTCGAAACTGTGCTTGCTGCACTGTGATTGTTCGCGACTGCGCTCACTTTGCCCAGTGAAACAGCAGGCGTTGCTGCCGACGCGTCGCCAATCTGGAATTCGAAACTCACTTCGACAGCGGTTCCTTCGCGACGGGGAAAGCGGAGGACTAGCTCCTCCCCGTCAGAAAAAAGCCACGGAGAGGAGTGCTGACCTTCTTCGGAGTGAAGCAGCACAAGCTTATCGGCGTCTTGTCCCACCTGCTGCCTTTGATAAATAGCGAGATTTTTGCGAATGCCATCTTCGCCTCCCTCCATTTCGCTACACCGCTCGTCGTGTCGGCCGTGGTTTGTCGCAGCAAATTCGCTCAGCTTGGAACACACAGCAGTGATCAAGGAGGATCTGGCTTTTGTGCGATCAGCAGCGACTGTGGGCAAAGAGATTCTCGTGAAACCAATAAAGTCACTTGTGCTGAAAGACCGCATCAAGTCGCCTTCCAAGACCCTGGTCGGTCCGAAAGGCACTTCCGCCGCAAAAACCTCGGGACGAAAAAACCGCACCCTGACATTGGACACACCATTGCCCCGTGGAGCGAGCGCGAAGTACGGGGTCGCTGCTCCGGGTGCGAAGAGAATGCTGTTCCCATCAGGTCCCTCGCTAGACGCTGACGTTGAGGTCGGAGAACTCGTCGTGTCTTCTCCTGGTACGGGATCTAGCATTACACGGAACTGGGGGCACTGCTTCAAAATGGGGCTTTTTCGGAATATCTCGTCTACGATCTCTTCACGAAAAGTGGCTGGAAGTTCGGCCGCGGCGCCAAATGGAGATAAAGGCGGCATACGTGCAGAAATTTCTAGTGCTTCCGAGCCGTTCTTCTGCAGGTTGGGTACTGCCAACGCAACGGTAATCGATGATGGCCTCGCATCCCATCTGAGAGTGATCTTGTCAGTCGCAGGCAAAAAAACAGCACGCGACCGAGTTGTGTCTCGTGCGACAACCCAGCGCCAGAAGGCATCGTGGTCATTGGCCAGAGACCGAATCCGGGATTCAGGCAGAAACAGTGCACCCGCAGGCCCGTTTAGTGCCAATGCCAGTTGGTTGCGAGCTGTTCCTCCTTCTGATTGGGCATCAAGAACATCGGCGCTTCCCCCGGCGCTGTCCGCAGGAGTACCGTCGGGGCTTGCGTTTCGAAGAAGCCCTTTCGTGATGGAGGAGCCATGTACAACAACTTCGTAATCAACAGCGCGATCAGTTGTTGCACTTTCGATTTGAAGACGCAGAACTTTCTCTAGCAACTGCTGGTGTAGCTCGTCCCAAGCGAGCTGCACCGTTGTCAGGGCGGGCACTTCCTTCGACCACTTGAAGGCCAGGCTGAGAGGCTGCGCCAATAATGGCTCTCCTGTCCACGCGTTCTCCACAACAACCTGGTGTTCGTCTCGGCGCTCGGCGCCACGGGTGTTTCGCGTTCCCAGGTAACTTTTCAAATCGAGGCTGTACACAACGAAGTGAAGCAAAGGACCAAGGGCGGCGTCATCCGTGCTATGCGCGGGGTAGAACATATTCTCCTCGTGCTCCTGGTGTGGTATAGGAGATCTCAATTGCTTCGCTTTCCCTGCTTGTGTGCAGTGCTTCGATAAACTTGCTGTGAGCGTTTTGCGATCCTTTGCCGCGGCTGAGTTTGCGACCCCGCAAATTTGTGAACTTCGCAAAACTACACCGGCTCCAATGTCCCATCCGGTGCTGGCGAAGGAGAGCGGATCTGCGTAATGCAGCTCCACGACATATCCAGGAGGGGCTTCCGCTGCTTGGGATGATGAACTGCGAAGGCTAAAGTTCGACTTCTCATCATCGGTTGCAATGCCATAGTCCAAGATGGCTGTCCGCAGGGATTCGATGGTTCTGCATGAAGCGACAAGACTGTACGAGTGCTGCGATTTTTTTGTCTTTTGGCATATCCACCACTTCTTTTGGCGCGCACAATTGCTCCACGCGCACACTTGGCCATCGGGAATGCACTTCTTGCGCGCACATCATGCACAATTGGCAATTGCACTTTTTGCGCACACGACACTCAAACATTGCGCAGCGTTTCGACGTGTACACATCCACAATGCAGCTACAGTTACTCGTTCGGTGTTGCCGTCCATAACATGGATCCTCGGTGCAGAGGCACTGAGTATTCTGAGCCGCCACGGTGTATCGAGTCAACATCCTCAAACCATGTAGCATTTGCGTGAACAAGCGAGCTGCTGTATGCATGATTAGACCTCACCCAAGCGTCAGCAATGTCGCGATACCTTATACACAGAGGCTGCTACTTCTAGGGACGACCGTTGACGGTGACAGATTGGCAAGTACGAAGGCAAAGAGAGAGAGAGAGAGAGACGAGAGAAACAAAATACAATATGTGGTACCTCGTTTACACCTACAGGAGCTGCAAGGAAAGTGGGATATTTTATTTACAGATAATCGTGCAAGTGTACCACCCGTAAAGTGCTTTCTTCGCCGTGCTTGTTTGACGAATAGCAACTACAACTACTTGTAGAGTAGTGCACTACATTAACGTGTGTGGAGGTCT